TTAGCAATATGTCTGTGCCCCCATGGCTAATTAAAGGGTTGCTTTCCTTAGCAGTGCAAGCCTCAGCGGTGACTCTGCGCAGTCCTTGGCTTCTCACTCCGAGCAGGTTCATAAAGAATCCAGGTTAATATTTGGCTGTGTGGGTCCCACTTGCAGGATGTCAAATTTGGGATAACATTTTGATCAGACACTGAGCAGATTAATGAAGGCTGCCATAAAATGCAAAACTTACTGCCTTGCTAAAGCAGAGTCCTGTTTATGGCCGTTGTTTATTACTGGTAGAAATTAAATGTTTGAATGCATTTTGTCTCTCTGCATCAAAATCCCTAAATAAAGCAATTCATTAAAGACTTCTAAGACTTTAGTGCTTTTTTTGTTGTTGTTAAGAATTGGCCATATATGTTGTTGAACCCTTTGTTCTACCCCAGGTATCTGTGAACACATCTTGTGACACTGATTCACCACTCCTACTGCATTCCGTGAATGCTCTCTGGGGTTTGCAGGGCACTTTCCAGCAGGCATGAGCAGCCTCTGACCTGCGCACTCCCCTCCTTAGGAACTTCTTGTAACGTTGAATATTCCAATTTAAAGCCCAGATGAAAATTAATCAAAAGTGCCTCTTATCTTTTTTCTTTGACAGCATGTGATATATGACCACATGATATATCCGCTTATCTCACACTTGAGTGAAAACTCTGTTCTTCAGCAGATGCTCCTGATGCACCAGGCGTCTCCTTGCACCTGAGCCAAGCTCTTCTCCAGGCTCCGCTCGCTCCTTAGACACCAGGAGGCATCTAAAGGTTGGAGCCTTAACGTGCACGTCCTGCAGCACCTGGGTGAGTGAGTGCAGCGCTGCGGTGCTGAGCTGTCCTGCTGCACCACGAGGACTCAGGTGGCCCAAGCAGCCACAGGCCAGGGACAAGACTCACCCGCGGGGCACTGAGTAGCAGAAACCTCCCCCTGGGCCATGCTTTTTTCTTGCCTGAAACCAAGCCAGCAAGGGCTTACTGGGAAGATTAGTTGTGCTCAGTGATTAGTTCTACTTTTTCATTTAGATGTGGAAAACTGCTCGCGTTGAGCGGCTTTTCAGTGAAGGAAGGGCCTCTCTGTCCCCCAGCCCGTCTCAAGGGCAGCCGTCGAAGGCCTCCCGAGTGCGGGCAGGACACAGGCCCTGGGGACGCGCACCGGTACCTCAGCAGCGGGTCTGCTGCGTGAGCCTGCGCGGGGCAGAGGGAGTTGAGCACAGGTCTGGAGCAGGCTAATGAGGGTGCAAGCGCAGCAGCCCGCAGCAAAATTTATTGTGGAGAGTCCCAAAGCCCCTTGACTTCCATAGGATTAGCATTAAGGCCAGCATGAGGCTTTTATATGGAGAACAACGCGGCCTCCAACATCTGGAGCTGATAATTTTGTTACTGGCAACATCTCTCTCAAAAGAGCAACATTTGTGAACCAGAGGGTTGGGCAGTACTTTTTCCAGCAGCCTGGCCAACACCTCCAACCCCTGTTTAAGCAAGGGGAGTCATAGCTCGCTACACCAGCTAGTGCAAAACTGACCCACGTTGCCAGCAAGCGCCCTGGAACTATCCTGACATAGCTGCTGTCACTCTGTTTCTGTGATAAGACGTGTGGAAGGGCATCAGCTGGGCTGCGAGACCCAGAAAAATGTCCACTTGTCCACACAGCAAAAGCTCCCCTGTGCCAGTTAGTTTTAATTGGCACTTGCACAACTCTGAGAAACCTACTGTTTCTACAGTGAAGCCTTACGAGTGTTGGCTGGATTCAAAGTGGATGAAAGAACTACGAATGTCACCCAATGTGTGTGTTAAGTACACTGTAAAAACAAGTAGCTGTAATGGAACTAAAGTGCATGTGCTGGAACTAACAGCAACCCGTCAGATGCCTGCGAAGGTAGAACCCGAGTGAGGTTGTGCCCTGCCAGCCTGCGCCGACAGAGGTGGCTAAAGCAGCCATCAGCCTCGGCACACGGCGCGTGCGAATCCTCTCGCAGAGGCCTGGGCCATTTCCCTGCTAGCGAAGCCACTGGGTGACCTTGCTCTACCGCCTGACCCAAGTGCAGCTTCCCGCAGCCCGAGCTGCAGGCACGGGGCGTTCCTGCACTCTGTCCTGGTCTGGGCAAGCTGGCAGTCTCGGTGCGGCTCGGTTATATAAGCAGGCAATCCCTCCACACGCCCAGACGCGCGTGCTTGGGGAACCCAGGGGAGGCGAGGGCTGCTGGGCAGCATTCGCTCTCGTTCGGCTGCTCTCCTGCAGCTACTGAAGTGTTTCTGCCGCCTGAGAGGCATTTGCCAGAACAAGGTCAAGACAGAAGCTAGTGGGCTTAAAAGCCACGCTCTAGTGACAAGCAAGGAACAGACAGTCTAACAGCACTAGCACCTCTGCTGTTATCCACGTTAACGGATAATCCTCTGAAATGACTTTCCCTGGGTTTGAGTCTCCTGTAGAAGGAAGAACATTTCTCTGCAACACTCCCACTCTTGTCCTCCAGCAACTGCTCTCCCACCAAGGCCTGTAGCGCATTTCTGCTAGGCCATAAAAATGGTATTTGACATGGCGCTGGTTTCTCCCGTAGTGGTCAAAATGTAGCAAGACACCAAAATGATACTCAAACACTGCCCTAGTACAGCTTAGCTGGCATAGGGACGTTCAGTTTAATTATGAGCAAGTCCAAGATCCCTGCCATGAAAAGTAAGTCAGAGGCTCCAGCTCTTCTCCTTGTATACCCCCGTTCCAGGCTGTCTGGAGCAGCTCGGCCACATCCAGCACATTCGTAGCAGCACCATCAGCTCACGCAAGAGGGAAGTTGGCTGTTAGTGCCGAGGCTGTTTTCATCCTTGCCTTGGGAAACTTCATCAGCAAGTGAAGCAAGAGAAACGGGTAAGAAACGGCTTTTACTCAACTTGTACCTTGGGCAAACCGTCTTCCACAGGTAAAACACAAGTTGCAGTTACTCAGCTTTCAGATGCAAAAGAGCAGCAGCAATATTACATCTTGATGCTATTCAGGATCCTTATTCCCTGGATCTAGCCGGGACATTTCTTAATTTTCCAGTTTTGACGTGGAAACAGAAATATCAAGAATTTGCAGACTTTTCTTGCTGGGCAAATTCAATTTAAGCCATCAAGAGCATTTCTGCTCTCCACCATGCAGTGCTCTCCTATCATCTTTTCTAGCATTTTGGTACCAGATACTTCGTTTACTACACTTCATTTTATCCCAGTTAGGTGTTTTGGCCTTCAAGTTGTATTTTTATCTCTTCTCAGAACCTGCACGACACAACAGGCACTGGTTTTGCCATGTCCCTTATTCTTGCTGAAGACCCGATCCCCAGAGGTTCTATCAGGGTCAGTAACTACCAGTTTTGCTTGACTTTGGGAAATAAAAGAACAGCCCAAGAGTCTTGATCTACCTTCAGATGAATGCTCTACATTTGAGCTTCAGGTAATTACTTGCATTTAGTAGCTGTTCACATTCTTGTTTTGGCAAAAGCAATTGTCTTCAGAAATAATCTCATGGTCATTCTGCTTTCATTTAAGCTAAAACTCGCTCTGTGCTGAAAAATCACTGTGGTTCTGATGCACTCATAGTTTCCTTTACACAGTTCTAACAGTAGCCCTTGGAAAGCACCATGCCTGAAATTTAAAAGGAATATTTCAGTTAATGCACAACTGTTATTCTAGTGCTGCTGAAAGCACAAATCTTCAGTGGAAGCAAGGAAACGAGGGAAAAGAATCCTCAGGAAAAAAAAAAATCTCAAGCAGTTCTGTTTTTCTCAAGTATAAAAAGTCAGGTTTATTAAGCAAGGCCTCCAACAAGAGGTTAGCTGGGTCAGCAGTTGTGCTTAAGGAAAACACAACAGTAAGGGAGAAGAATTAGTTAATCCTAGGGAAGAACCACTCTTGACATCAGAATGGTTGGCAACCTCAGGTCCACGGCCCCACAAGGTGTTTCTGAGGCACTGCTGAAGGATCGTAAAAGATCTGAGAAAGCCAAATTGTCACCAGTGCACGGGCTGAACAGAAATGCCAGCCTGGAACGGCTGCGCGGAGCAGCCCGGCCCTGACCAGAGGACAAGGCTGATGCTTGGCTTTGTCTCCCGCCGCACTGGCGTGACGAAGAGGAGGAACAAGTCATCTTGGTCTCCTATGCAAGCTCTGAACTGCGTGTCGCTACTATGTGGCCCCTGGCAGTTAGTCAATATAGATAACGGTGCCTCCAAACACACACTTTTTTCAAAATAAAAAGACTCATGTGCCCTTCACATTCCTGATATTTGGGCTGCAGCCCCAAGGAACTTGAAAGGAAGTTGTTCTTTGCAACATACTCCCACCTTCACAGCTCGAGTTCTAGAAAGTTAAAGCTTTAAGGGAGCTGCACTACAAAGCTTCCCACCTCTGTGCTGGGCCCCGGATACCCTACAAGAAACAGGCTCCCTTTGTTATTCACACTTCGAAACAGAGGTGAAGGCTCCTGCTCTGAGCTGCTTGTGCTATGATGCACAGATGATGTATATAGTTTCAGGATGAGCCTCAGGGAGTTGTGGAAGTGGAACTGTGCTCTTCTCCACAACATCCTGTGGTGAAAACTAGGCCCCGCGGCAGGAGAGGGGCTGAGCAAGTTGCTCAAAGCTTCCCTGACCCACTTGAAGCTGGAGGCCTCGGGGCAGATGCAGACATTTTTGTGCACAGGAGTATTCCTGCTCCTTGCGCAGGGCCAGCTTAGTGCCAGGAATATTCTGAAGAACTAGAAGACAGTGAAATATATTAAGGTAGGAAGGAAGCTGTTAGAGACAACTGGCTGGATGAAGCGGAGGAGGCCCCTAGGGCCGCGGGGAAGACGTTAGACACGACGTGGCACTCGCAGCGTTGCGCTTCCTGCAATACAGTATGCACATAGGAAGTAGATTTGGTATTTTATTAAGTAAACAGAGCAATCAGTGCACATTTTAAGCAGCAAAAAAGAAAAAGCACCTTAGACGTTCATACCGTAACAAAAGTTCTGTGGAAGCTGCATTTTATTTGAAAATTCACCCATTTTTGCTAACATACATTTTAATATTTTAAACAAAAATAGAATCTGCAGAGACAATGCAGCAAGTATGCTTAATTCATGTACAGAATTGCTTTCATATCATTGACTATCCTTCTGAAGACCCCTCTCCACCCAGAAGTTATGATGTATTTACACAGAGCACCGATCAACAGTGCTACTTCAATTCATTAACGAGATTCCCACGAGACACGTGTAAGGAAGCTACTCCCCCCTTTTTTGTCTTCTGGCTTTTTAAAAGGTACATGATCATAAACATGGCACTAGCCAAATGAAAAAGCTCCCCCCACCCCCCAAAACTTCCATTTTTACAGAAAAGAAGGAAAGTCTTGAAGTGAAAGCAATTCCTCACATTCATTTTGGAAAGGCCTTATAATGTCAAATGTAAAAATAATGACATGCCAAGCACAAAGCAATAAAGTTCCTTCCCAATGCACTGATGCTGAATTAAAAATGTAGTGCTTCTTCTAGTCAGTTAACTGTTCCCTTGCAAAATCCTAGGCACAGAATTGACTATAAGGATTAATGCATTTTACAGCTCTTCCCTAATTCCCATATATACTGAGAATTCATTAGATTCAGACCTTTAAAATATTTAGTGCTCTGTATGTCAGCTGAAAAGCATTCTGAATCAGATTCATTCTTTGTGGATAAAAATCAGACATACTGTATACATCCATACTCATTTTCATAAGGAGTTTTTTTTTGATACAATATTAATGTTAAACTGATAATCATAAATAAATACAAACAATAATACATACGGAATGTCTACTGCAAACTGAATACATTTTTTTTTTTTTAAAAAAAAGTTAATTCCCATTACTGCTGTGCCTACATCTGTGAGGAGTGAAGAAAAGGTAACTGCAGAGTTAAGAGTTAGGATTTGACCCTCCCCTCCCCAAAGTCTTATTTTAAGTTACGGTAAAGGACATCTCCATTCCAGACAGCATTTCAAAAAACAAATCTTAATTTCCAGAATAAAGGCTTCTCTTTGTATGTTACTGATTATGGATATTATTAGAAGCTGAAAAGTATTGATGTATTTAGTCGCCGGGACAAAAAACCGATCTTGGTCTTAATTCATGGCAATTCTTGGCTTCATACTGTGTGGTGATGCTTTCCTGTGGAGCGCCCCAGGTTCCTTCATTGGTCTTCATGATTTTACTGCATCCTTTATGGAAGAGGAGAGCTTGAGAGACTGAAGTTCAGCTTTTCCTGGAAGTCGGGTTTACTGGTGAGCACGTCTTTTTGGAATTGTTCCTTTCTCTTCCATCTAACAGTTACATAAACTGAATCTGTAAAGATTAGAAAACCTCTGTGTTAACATACCCAGGTATCAGCATAACCAGAGGGAGGAAGTCATATGTTATCTTCAAAACTTCCACTCTCCATATACACAAACTACCAGAAGTTCTTAAGTTTTGAGCAAGAATGCAAAATTATAAAAACAAGCCAAAGCCATGAGGATGTTTTTCCAACTATACCAGTTTTTTGGGACATCTGTTTGCATTAAGTTATTTTGTAAAGCATTAAAAAAGACATATGTATTCATACAATATTGCCACCAGCTGGAATATAACGCACAACTCAACATGTCTACAAAAAGCAGCCAAGGGTTTGATTCTATTCTCTGTGATCCAGAGGAAGCGCATGAAGAAACGCAGACCGCTCTGTGCCATGACGGGCTATGCATTACATTGCACGGTGCTCCTCGAGGGCGTCATGGTTTGCCTCGTCTTAGCGTTTAATCCTTCCCGTGATGAGCACAAACACGGAGCAGGTTTCCACGCTGCACCCGCAGGAGTTGACTCTCCCACTCGTGAACCCACAGGTCTGCTTGGGCAGGAAGGAAACGCTTTGCTTCAGCCGCCCGGTTCAGGGGAGCGAGGGGACCTGCTGCCTGGCAGGAGCCTCCAGAGCCGCCTGCCCAACCGCCAGCGCCGGCCCTCGCGGCTCAGAAAGGCTCCATGGAGCTTCATTGCCAAGGACCCGCAGCAAAACACCCGTTTGCTTGCTCAGGCCCTTGAACTGCTGCAGTACATCAGGTTTGCAAGTCACTTCCACAGTGCTTCCAACTCAACATGACTTGTTTTTATTACTGTTAGTATGGCTAGAGCTGCTTCTAAAATGCAACGAAGCTCAGGTTAGAACTTCTGCCTGCGCTTCACATCACCAACACCAGCGTGTCCCCAGAATAATGGACAATACCTAAGTTGTTCTACAAGAAATCCTGGAGAGAGAGCTCTGCAAAGGGATCCTTTCCTGAGGCTCTGTGAGGACTCTGACTGGAAGGGCTGGATGCTGCAGACAGCTAGTAGGAAAGACGACAGAGAAAGGGAAAGAAAAAGAAAAAAGGTCTCAGAATGACAGAATATGAAAGCTGAAAGTGTAATGAAAGGACAAGGGGAGGTTAAGAGGCAAACTGGGCAGAAATCAACTATTAAAACAAGGTGTTTGGTCACATGGAAAACAAAACCTCTTCAATGGTTGGTGTAATGTAGAGACAAGCTGGACACGGCCCTCCAAAGGAAACTGATGGGGTTCTGCCAAACGAGCCGATAACCTTGCACCTCCGCAGTTTTCTTCCCAAGATTATTTACAAATGCCGGCCCTGACAGTCCTGTCCTGTCCCCCGCTCTGCCCCCACGTCCGGGCACAGAGGGACAAGGCTGGAGCTCCGGTCCCAGCGCGGCAGCTGCCCGGGCGCCTGCGCGTCAACAAGGAGCCTCCTCTCAGCATCCTCTGTCCCCACAACCATCACGTGTACGGGAAGGGGCAGCTACGAGCTCTCGTCCTGCACAGCAGCAATGCAGCACGTATCCCGGGGCCAGAGAAAACACAGGAAAGCTCCGATCAATAATCTCTACATCTGAACAAAAATAATGTCCTATAGCCTGGTATTTAAGGCACATGACCAGCCACGCTGTTCCAGCACACACTTATGCCTGCTGCCTTTCCCTCATCCTGAGCGGGGACAGGGGATTTCAGCTGTTGCTGGTAGGGGCCAATAATCTGCAAGCTGTAGTAGCAGTAGCAGCTCTTCCTGTTTTCTCAGCTTGTTTTTAAACTCTGTTCCTCTTTGTCAGGGCTTCCTCGGTTAGAAATGGTGCTTTGTTAAACCAGCTTTGCCCTCTCCCCTTCCGTAACTTGCATGTCTTGGCAGTTGCAAATAAAACTGGCCAGTTCTTCCCTTTTTGGTGCCGCTACCTCAGGAGCTGACCAGGACATACCCGCACCTCCCACGCGCTGCACACGCTGCTGCACGGAGACACGTGGCCACCAGAAACCCTGCACGGCCGACCTGCCCAGGACAGGAACGTGCTGATGGGGACTGCTGGCAGGAGCGCCCAGAATACAAATGTGCAGGGGAAATATTTTCAATGTGAGACACATTAACGTTTTCACCCCAGAAAATCACAGGGAGAAATGGAGAGCTCATTTATCTGCATTGAAATGTTCAGGTACCCCTTCCCGGAATCCCCTGCCTATGGGGCACTCGGATCCAGTCCTCATAAGCAGATAATGAAGAGTCATGAGACAGAATGGGAAGTGCCTGAGAAGCTGTTTAGGGATGTGGGGAGGTCTCCTTCCCAACCCAGCTCTTCCCTTTGGAAAGTCGCAGCCCACCCACATCCCACCGCTCTCCAGGATTTGTGATGGACGGCTGAGAAACGCTGCGAGAGAGACACAACCGCGGCACAACCCGCCCTCGACTGCTCAGCTTCGTGGCGTTCCTCCTCCTCGCGGTCAGTTCTGACCGACTGGAAGAGTTACTAACCAAGAACCCCGTTAAACTGAGTTGGCAAATCTCCAATTGAGCTCCAGTCTAAAGTAATGCCCCAGTTTGAAAGCAGTGTGGAAGCCTGGTAGGTTTAAAGCTCTGTCATCTGTGTAGTGTTAGAGGGGAAGCAGAAATACAGGTGAAATTTTGGGAGGCCTCTTCAAGTTAAATAATGAAAAAACCCACAACAGTGTTGCTTCCTAGATATTCCAGCCACATTCAGATGCAGGATCCTACAGTCAAAGTGTATTTTAACAAAATTCCTCTGCTTATTAAAAAAACAACAAGTACATGATTTCCTAGACTGTGTCTAATATCTATCAGGACTGTATCCTGAATATTCAGCATGACTAAATTATCTTAGAGGATAATTTAAGACCACTTACAAAATTGAAAAACTACAACCTACCTTGGCAGTTTTCTCTGGAAAAAAAAAGGGTATTTAAGATACTGCACAGGCCACGGGTTTCTCTACCACTAGCAGGATCAGAACTGTGGATGGGGCTCCCTTCCCATCCAGCACAAGTGTCATTTGAAACAGGACCGAGCTGGACCAGAGCAGAACAAGGGACACTTCTCACTGCTTCCAGCATAGGCAAAAAGCTCCGCAGGATCAGTTAAAGTAACCCAAAATGACCAGCCTGTAATTTCACTCTTGACTCGGATCATTAGGTACTGGTTTCTCACCACAAGTCTGTCAGGCTCCTTCAGCACATGCTTTGGGATTGGGGGTGCCCCTTTGGGCACATCCCAGTCTGCTTTGTACCACTGATCCCTCCTGAAGGCAGCAGCACGATCGTCCACAGCCTCAGAGGAACTTGCTCACTTCAGCATTTCCAATGCTGCTAACAATTATGCTGTTACAATTCATATAAATATTAGCAATAAGCAGGATAGTTTTAATACTTAAAATGTTCATGTTCACTACCCACCTGCTTCCACTCCCAAGGCTGTGTCCACTCTATGCAAGTCCCACCTGTGTTAGTTACAGCCAGAAGCCACACACAGATTTGTCTGTTTTCTGTCACTCTGTATTAGCTGCCCTACCAGGGCTGTGGTTGGAGCTGAACGTGCAAATGCTGCTATTGCTCATCACAACTCTCATCTTGAAAAGGGTAATTTGTATTTCAGCCACCTGTACATCTTCCCAGTTTGGCTTATCTAATCTCTCCTGCATTTGCTGCCTGTATTCTACTTGTCCTTCTGCCTATTTTTCAATTTTGTTTGGACCACTGATTTCACCACAATCACCCCTAATTTCTGTCCTTTTCGCCCCACACCTCAACTGAAATAATTTAGTCTCAACTAAAATAATTTAGTCACACTGCACACCCTCTTCTTGTTGTTCGGCGTGGCACCATATATTTCATTATCAACAAAGCCAGCTGTTCTGCTGTGATAAAAACAATTCTTACCAACTTCAATATGCAAGATAAGTGATTTCAAAGAAGAAAAAATACAAACAAATTAAGCATGGAGATATTCAGTGTAATAATATGGCAATGCCTCTCAGTAGCAATAGATTAGCAACTCCTATCTCGCTGTGCAAGGAGAACAGCCTTTGCTTTAAGACAAGGTCCCTTATTGACATTTCTGAAAACTTAACACCTGCAAGAATGAAGACTGGTCGTCTCAGGGGAACCTTCCTGGTCACACAGTTAATGCTGAACCAAACCGTGTGCTTTCAATAAAACTCTGTTGTCGTAATAATCCAGCCTGTTCTGACAGTCAGCTGGGATTCAACCCAGACCAAGCCCTGCAACATCCAATGAAGCAGAAAGCCTCACCTAACTGTTCAGACTTGCCTGCCTGCTCACAGCTGATTAGCTTGGTGAGCCAAATAGGCAGAAGGTTTGAAAGTGCCATTTCCAAACTCGTGCTTGTAAAAAAAATGCTTATTTTCAAGGATCTCATTTGCTCTCTAGTTAAGTGTACTAAACACTATTTTTTTTTCCTGTGAAAAAGTGGGGAAGCCCCATGAAAATAAAGATATCAAGTCAGTTACCTGAAGTGACAGTAAGTGTACAACACAACTCTGGGATTGAAGGGGAAGTGAATAGATAACTGAATTTCTAGCTCAAGAAACACAGGAAGTTCCACCTCCATGTGAGGAAGAACTTCTTTACTGTGAGGGTGACAGAGCCCTGGAACAGGCTGCCCAGAGAGGCTGTGGAGTCTCCTGCTCTGGAGATCTTCCAAACCAACCTGAATGCCACCCCATGGTCTGGGTGTCCCTGCTGGAGCTGGAGTCCTGGGTTGGACTAGATGATCTCTAGAGGTCCCTTCCAACCTCAACCATTCTGTGACTCTGAAATCTAACATATCCTTTTTATCTAAATATTTCTAGTCCAGCCATAAGGCTCCATTTTTGGGCAGAAGCTGGACATACTGCCCACTAGCAGCTCCTAACAACCATGGACATTAAAGATCAGATTAAGGCAGTGGAGAAAGAACTGCGCCAGTAGTCTGGAAGAGTCGAGAGTCTTAACCTCTCCTTTCTCCTCCACAGAATGGAAAAAAAAATCACTCAGAATTCATAAGCTTTAACTTGAATATTTAAACAATGTTTAGTTCAGAAGGGAAGAACCTATATTTCTTATACTATCAAAGGGCAATATCATCTGTGAAGCAAACTGCAAGTTACATGTCTGAATTCAGTGCTATGTCCTGCATTCCACATACACATTCTTCCTTTAAACACATACAGGTATCTAACATACCAAGTGTACCTAAATAAATAGACACATTTCTTTAAGCAGCTACCTGCAACTAAAAACAGGCAGAGCTCTTCATAAGATCCCAACATAGTCCCCATAAAGTACAATAAATCATTAAGAACTTTGGTAAAACCCACTTAACTGACAAGTGAAAACGCACATGGTTAATACTGGAGTTCCAACAGAGCCTCTGGAGTTGACTCTCGCTGCACTGCACAACCATGACTACCTCAAACTCAGTGATCTGAACATTTTCTGAAAACAGTATGAAAGTGTGCAAGTTCTTCTTGAGCTCTTCACACTAAAAACCTATTTTTGTGTCATTAACAGTGGAAAAAAATGAGTTTCAAGCTTACAAGACACAAAAAGACACAAATTTAAAAATCAGTATTTGAAAAGGTCAGTTCTCAGATTTCAAAGCCAGACATCAGAGAACCCCTTCAGCACACACTTATTCCAGCACACAGGTTATGAACCTATAAACAATCTTTCAGGAGAAGCAGAAGAACAGGCAGTTTAAGGGACACACTATTTAACACAACACACTTGGTTAACGTGGAAAGGTCAGAGTGATTTGTACAGCTACTGGATCTTTTCACCAGGCTGTAATTTTTTTATTTTCTCCAAAGGAGGAAAAAAAAAAAAGTCCTTTGGAGAATACAATGCTTAAAACTAGACCAATGTGGTATAAAATTGAGGAACATTCAGTAGTAGCTATGCAGGTGTGGGACTGAGGTTTCCCAGTTTGATATGATGTTTTCTCTACACCCATCTATAACATTTGCAGACTTACAAGGTCTGTGTGTCCTTTTTGTCCCCTGCAATATGCTGTAATATAAAAAAAGCAGCTTACGCAAAGATTTAATTTTATAGGAAGTGCCAGACTTTGTTACTTTATAAGGTATTATTTTTGCAAACATAAGAGGTTAGGGGACTAGTGCCAGACATAATTCAGAAAAAGCCGTAATAGCTCAATCTCACATAAAGTCATCCTTAGAGGAAAAGCAGCAGAGAACATGAACTTCGGGCAAGACCATCCTCAGCAAATAACACGTGTATGGGGCTGGTATTACTAGTCATGTTCCAGAATCACACTTCCAGAGAGAAGGGATAAGGAAGACCACCTTTTTTTTTGGTTTTATAAAACAACCTGGACATCAACCTGGAAACAGGCAGCAAAGAATCAATCCTTTCATAACCAGTGGGCTTGTGCAATGGATTTCTTCAACATACAGAAGTATTAATTTTCTTCTTTTAAACACCTCCTCATCAGGTCTGATCTGTTTCTAGTATTAATTATTAAATTTACCCACCTGTGCTCCTGGTACAGGGCCAAAAGGGTTGGGTGGTCTCATGACTGGCTGGCTGTATATTAAAGTTGGCTGTGTCATTACTGGTATGCCTCCCATCTGTGATGGCTAAAAGAACCCAGACAACATCAGATCACACATCATATTAATGCACCACAAATATTTAAGGAGAGAAATGAGGGTGGAGAGGAAATGGTAGATGGGTAAAAGTCTTGTTCATATTTGACATATGCAACCACAAAAGTTGTTGCTGAAGTATTCTGCAAATAAGATTACTAGAAAGAAAATTACAGCCTTTTCAAGGAATATTCATTTAAACTTCCGCTATTTACTCCTACTCCAAAAACACCTGGAACACTAAGATGCCTCAAAGTCTGACAACACCTCCCTTTCCCAGCCTTTGAAAGCACAAGATGACAAATTTACAATTATCAGTGCAGAGCTGACAGACCTCAGGAACATTTGGAAACATATAGCATATGCTATATGTATAAGTAAACTATATGTAAAAATAATGTTAACTCATTAGACAATACAGCTAAAGTGTTACTGAGACTGTGGCTGAGCCAAATTAAGTGTTTAACACATACTAATGGCCTTAGAAATAAGATTTAATTATACTTAAACTCTCATCTCTGCTTTTGGTGTTTTGCCCAGGCTTAGGTTGAAATCCAGCAGCAGCGCTGCAAAGCGGTCCCATTCCAAGCAGATTTTCCTTGACAAAACCTACTCTTTTCATCATGCCAAGCAGCTGTTCCAATAACCAGTGAACTCGTTCACCAAGCTGACTCCGATGAAAATAAATACCCTACAGAAAAAGCTGAAGTAACTGCTAGCCCTCACTGATAGAAGGGCTTGCTATTAGGCCGCTGTTTAGAGGCTGTCATAGCTAGAACCCTGTGGCACAAATTATTGTTTTATGGGGAAAAAAAAAAGCTATGCACTTTTGGGGTCAAAATTTCAAAGAACCCTGGTGTTATGTGTGTTGAATTGGGTTTGTACAAGCCAGGACAGCTTTCAGGATGAGCTATAAAACCCGCTGATGTTCATGGGCCGGGCTCATCCTACCGCTCACAGTGTGTCCTTCTGCACGAGCAAGAGCAACTCGAGGGAGAGCAAGAGGGCTACAGCTCAACTCCCGCTTCCATTTGATAACGGCATTTAAATCTCATGGTGAAAGCTGCTTTAGGAAACACATGGGATTATTTTCTGTGCTCAGAAGATGTCAGCTTGCCCAGCTCTTACTGCAGAACTCGTGAAGAAAGCAACACGACCCCTGGGCATTTTGATTCAGGTGCAGAAATGCTCTTCGTATCTGCAGTGCAAAGCTGTGCAGGATCAGTTTGAATCAGCACTGCTGGCAGTTTAGAACAACCGCAACAGCTTTGCACAGAACGTGCTGCAGGATGGGTGGCAGCATGAACCCAGACACACTCCCAGCAGACCCGCAAGAGCTTCTGTTGTTCCCTGAGGAAATACAGGGAAGCTCCAAATCATGGATCTAATTCAATCATGTGAAGCGTTTTAGGTGATTTTTATTATATAGATGTGCAAATTATTTAACAGAATATTTGCTCTAAGAAATTTTTCTTCCGCTTTATTCACCTAGAAGCACTCTGCTACATAAATGCCACTATATTAATACAGCAGAGTTAAGGGACATCATTTTAATAATGTTAAAAAAAAAAGACCGAAAAGATGAAGACTTTGAAAAGTTACATGCAGCAACAGAGAGCAAAGTTGGGTTCAAGCAAAAGGATTTCTGGTACTGGTGTTTTATGAAGAGATGCAGTTCCCAGCTGACACTGCCACGACACACAACAGTGTCACAACCTTCCTTTCATAGCATGTATCCTTGCAGGTAAATTTTGTTGGGATAAGGAGCAAGTATTTAAGGGGGATTTCACTTCAGCACTGAAATATTCCTGTTGTGAGTCTAGCTGTATTTACATGGTACACTTATTTCTACACTCAAAAAGCCTACCAAGAATAGAGAGTAAGAAGAAAGTTAATCAACGATTAGGTGAGTAAAGAACAGGTAGACTTGAATTTCAGACAAAACCAGACTGTATTAAAAAGTAGGATTTAATAATTTAGTGAAGAAAAACCAATAGGGCTGAAATTCAGATTTGAGAAAAACAATTCAGAGAAGTGACAGCCAGCTCACGTAATGCTCCCCCTACCATGAGCAACCAGATGACCCACAGCAAGTCCCACTTACCATCCCGTAGCCCATCATTCCCGTCGGCGTTGTGGCAGGATAGGCCATTACAGGGGGTGCCTAAGGCAAAAGGAAACCGGGGTGAGCGGAAAGGAGGGAGCAGCCGCACGCCGCAAACTCACTGCTCAAGAGTCAGCTGCAGCAAGGCATCAATTATGATCATAGCAAAGAAGGAGGATTATGCTTAAAAGAATTTGCAGTCTTGTGTTAAAGTGCATCCAAATTATCTCCAATCTAATGCAATACCTAAATTAAAGCTCCTGGAAGATCTCCATAAATGTATAACTACATATTTACTATTAATGCACTAGGATTCTGTCTGACTAATGTAAATTGGCAACCACAATTCTCAGTATTCTGTTTAGGGAACGTACTATGATACCTCTATAAAAGACTTTAGAAAAGACTCAAGAAGATAAATGTGTCTTGGAGCATAGGACATATGCATTTAACTTTCCAAATTAGAAATAAGGGTGTAGGAGGAATCCCAAGGGTTGACATTTCAAAGCCCAATGACTGCTGCTTGTGCAGGTATTAAAGGAGCTCTCTTCTCTTTAGCCAGCAGGCAGCTGCTACGGGGATTTTCCTGCCCTGCCTCAGCATTACTGCACCTCTAACACCCAAGGGCTGCAATGGGAACACGGCTGCCTTGGCTTGGCTTTTGTCCAGCCTCAATCTAGAGGATAGGATAAATAGTTCTAAAGCTACGGCAGTATTGCTCACTAATGCTGCAGGGGACAGGGCTCCAGAAACAGTTTCTATCGAGGCTGAACACGTGAAGCTGCTACTTCCCATTCCTCCTCACCCACCCAGAATATTTGCTCTAAGAATATTCGCTTTAGGGCACTCAATTCAAAAAGGTTAAAAAAAAACTCTTAATGTTTGGCAGATGTTTGTATTAAGCTCAAAATTAACTTTTATAAAGTTGCAAAAAAAAATTGATCAGAGAAAAATCTGGCTGAAATTGCATTTTGTAAACAATTTAGCAGGGTGTATGCATAACCAGCTGATAACTGATACAGAAAAGCTGTAGAGAATATATTAAAAGATAATTCTTCACCTCACAGCCACATTCTTTGTTTTGTAGTTTTACCACCCTCTTTCCCAGCTAGTATTCCCTTTTACAAGGACAAAAGAGAGTTATGCTGGCCTGCAATTTAGTGCTGATGAATATTCAGGTTACTTGCTGCTCTCTATCCACTCCACCTCTCGTTAGTCTCTCTCTGCAAGTACCCGCCTAACTTGCATGTTCTTTGCTGTAGAGGTTACAGTTCACCACAGGACAAACAAAGATATTCCATTCTTGGGAATACGCAGCTTTTTGATACAGGGAAAGAAACAAACAGGGGAGCAACAGATTATCTGTAATATTAGAGCAATGAAGCAGATAAACACCAGGACAGGACATGAGCAGAGCTGCTGCTGAATCCAGTTCTCAGCTACCAGCTGCCTTGTCACACACAGCAGCCAGTTGCCAGCATTAAGTGCTATAAAAATAAATAATCCCTGATTAAAAATCATGTACATTGTTTACCATCCAAGTATTTTTATTTATTTTTTAAGTTTCTCTGTGTGTTCATGGCTATGCACATACACAACATGCTGACTACAAATATTTTTGAATGCTCAAATGTGGACCTACCGGCCTTTATTTACAGAGTTACCCTGTAATGAAAACAGAATACAGGGAAAGACCAATATCACTGTTGCCATAACAAAAAAAAAAAAAAAAAAAAAAAAACACCCTGATATGAAAGGCTACATTTCTCCAACAGCAAGTCCAGGTTATTTATTGCTTGCTGTTGGTAAACAGTCAATATGGATTTACTTACTTTAGGTATTAATGACATATTGGTCTCTCCCCAATAAAATAAATACAAATTCAAAATCTACCATCAATGTGGATCAAGTGCCAAGTATAACAGAAGCCTGTGAGATTTCATGCAGTTATTCAAACACGAACACCTTGTCTTCATTCAATATTCACCAAGTGCAGTAAAGGCAGCACAGACACACACACCCCAGCTATCTGCCAGCAAATGGTAGTTTCAAGCAAGGAAAAATAATTTTAGTATTTCCCATGCCATCATTCGAATCGAGAGCCTGCAGAACACCTATGAAGTTCGTATATGCTAGGAAAAGCTCCAATTTTCGGCACACCAAAGATTTTTAAAATGAGAAATGTGTAAATAGCAAGAAGGTTATGAGATTCTGCTGCAGCAGTGGTTAATATCAGCATGCCAGTTGATTGCAAAAAGGCTGCGCGTTGTTTCACTTACGTATTGTGGAAAATGCATGCCATTCTGTATTTCCCAGGGAAAACAATTACATAATGCAATAACACTGGATTAGAAGCAAATACTTACACAACAGAGTATACACAGATAGCATTTTAGTTCACAAATACGCTAAATGTCTACCCCAACACATTCTTGTAATTCAAGTCATTTACTGAAGCAACGCACGTTTCGTGATACTGTCATCGCTAGCAGGCCTGGAATTCTGTTTTGCATAGTCCATTTATTTGGTATATGCCTTTTTTTCCAAAGACAAGAAAGCTTTGTTTTCAAAAGCATATTTATTTAGCAAGCAGCAGCAAGTCCACAATAAATAGACCAGCAGAGCAAAACAAAAGGTTTTTTTTCCCCCTCCTAAATAACTTATTTCAAGACTTTTGAATAAAAAGCTTTTGCAGAAAGAAATGTTTCAACAGTATCTCTAAACAATAAAAGCTGTTAAGGGTAATGACTTATCACAAGAAGATGCATATACAAGACAAGTTATTGAACAGATGAAGCACACAAGTAAATTTGAACTACCAGACATTTGAGTAGGTTATGGTTTCTACAGCATCTACCCATATTTCAGTGATGCCTCCCAAACACTTCCCTCTCCATAAGGGACCTGAGCTAATAAGGGCCAACCTTCAGCAAAACTGCAGCAGATCTGGAGAGATGACTTTTCTCTTTCCAAATCTGCAGTGTTATATTAAATTAAATTATATTAAATTGTCAATTCTCCATCCCCCAGTCATTCAGAGTCAGATGCAATGGATCCCAGGAAACCTTTTGTTACATATCCTGTCAGCATACAATGCTCCAGGTGAGAAGTGCTGAATAGGATTCACATGTAGAAAATGTTCCATTAGCATTGTGAAAACTACTCCTGTAAACCCTTATGCTTCCTTTTAACAGATGCTTTAAGAACAGATCATTTCATTAAAAAAAGAAAACCACAAACAACAAACTACACACACGCAATAATACCCCTCACCAATATAACACGTTACTGTAAGTACTATAAAATAAGAAAAGTTCAGCTGGTGACCACATTGACATGCATTAAAAAAGCCCACGTATCAATTAATAAAGCTATCCTACATCACCGCAGCCTCCCACCCCAGAGCCAGCTAACTCTTGTTAAGCAATGCAGGTTTGACATACCCTGATGTTCCTTACAAAAATGCTTTCCACACTTGCACTCGTCTAGGCTGCACCGTGGCCCCACACCCCAGCAGAATTCCAGTTCTGTGTCAGTTTAGTGGAATACAAAGGGAGCTATCTTACTTTGAGAGCAGATTTTCAAGTCCTATTCCAGTTTCCACTGAACTTAACATGATGCATTGTAAACTATTTACTCTGCACATCAGAGAAGAACAAATTCAAGTAGTACTTATCTCAGATTGGCTATTTAAGCAATTTTCCACTGCCCTTCCACTGCAACTATACATTATCTGCAGATTTCTCTGACAGAGCAGCGTCTATATTTAAATGACTGACAATTTGCTACTTTAAAATAAGTATTTGCTTACCAATGTTGGTGCATTCCATGCAGTGGTAGGTGCAATTTTGGGCTGCCAGTTGGAACCACCTGTTAGTTTCTTTTCACCTGGCTGAGTCCAATTTACATCACTTAAATAAAATTAAGAATCATTAGAAAATGTTGGATTTGCTTTAAAATCTCCCTTAGATAAACACTAAGCATTTCTTCTTGAAAGCATTTTGATGAACTGATTTCCTAAATATAGACAAAGCCTGAAGGAAATGGGAGACAGAAGTCAGGACATCTTGTCACTGTCACTACCACTCAGCCTAGGGTCACTTTTAAACAATGTTGGCAATTTCACTATCTTACCTAAGAAAGAAAAGCACTACTCCAGTCAGGTGCTTTGAATGCTAACATTAAGTTATTACTTATGGGTCAGAACTCATTCTTTCCTAAAATTTTTACTAGTGAGAAGGTCAAAATTTGTAAGTTTTGATTAAGAATACTCACTTTTTAGTAGTTCCATTTCCAATGCCCAAATCTGTGACAAAGTAGGAAAAGATATTATTGAAATTCTCTTCATTTAAAGTAATTAAGCATCCATCTGCTAGTATTTAATACTTACTGCCTACAAGATTGGCTAAAGATGAATCCAGATCATCTGACACTAATTTGTTAGGTGGTACTTTGGCAACTGGAAGACTCTGGTTTTGGGAGGCCACTGTTGGTTTTAGGAGACCACCTAATTCATCAAAACCTGAGGATAAGAGAAAAAAAAGAAGAAAAAAAAAAAGGTGACTTAAATAAGCAGCCCATGAATGATGCCACATTCAGTTGAAGAGAAAGCAAGATCAGCACAAAGGTTAAAATATGAAACTTAACCCAGTAATGCTACAACTCACAGAGGGTTAATTAGGCCTCTTCATATTTGAGCTATTTACTACAGAAAGGAATCGCTATTTTGAGATTTCATTCTAACTGGTCTAACACACAGCCAAGTGATTTATGTGCCATAGATTCACTACAGCTACGAAGCAATTGAAATACAAAACAAACAAAGGTCTTATCAAATGCATATGTTTTTGCTTTTTGCGTATTTCTGGATTGGTCAGAGAGTCCACTGTCAAAAATGCAGTGTCAAAAGACCAGAGAACATCTATTTTCCAGATGCTAAGAAGAACAAAAAGGCTACTCAATGTGCAGTTTTAATTAACTGTGTGTGTTTGACAATTTATCTTATATGATCTCTTCCTGAAAATCTCCCCATTCGAAGAATAAGGCATAGCAGATGTTGCACAGCTGTAGAAAATTAAAAAGCAGCTTTAGCTCTACCTCTTATGAGCACACTTTGTAAATACAGACAATTTCAGTTGACAGCACATAAAAACAATGGTGGCTGTTCACTGTGCATAGTTTTACACACATGAAATATTCAACTGAATGATACCAATGTAGGCATTTCAGCACAGTTCATTTAGAAACAGGCACCAAGGAAATGTTTTTTGATTATCTAGTTAAAATTATGGATGAAGGCAGCCACTATTGACCTTTTCAGTCAGCTTTCCTTTCTTCAGCTCTAACATTGTCACAGTAATATGAGTAAATACAGACTGAAGAGCTCCATGCCTCAAGAGTAAGAAAGAGGACACATGTCATCGATTTACGTATCTTACCACCAGAATCTAGAACAACATTAGAAGACTTGTTTCCAAACACAGATTCAAAGTCAACATTAAGGCCAGCTGACGGCTGTGGTTGAGCAACAGGAGAAGGAGTGAACCCTAGGGAGAAAAAAAAAAAAGTCATTAAAGGTTTTTATATAGCGTTTCCTGTAAATCCACCTTCTTTATGCATGACAAACCAAAAAAGTGTCATTATTCAAGTACCAGAGAAAGATCAGAAATACCTCAAAGGCCCAAATTACTCCCTGACATGGAGAGTTATGTA